ACAATGAGACAAGAGACGAGAGGGCTGGCTGTCGCCTCTCTAATAAGCGTAAAAGAAAAGTTTTCCTCCAGAGTTGATTCCAGTAATCAACTACTGAAATTAATTTCTCATGTATATACCCGTGTAGAGTAAGTAAGCTGTAAACATAGAGCAACATTCAAAGGGTGCAAAAGGACATACAAAAATTAAATCCATCGTACCAGTCCCCTAGCTACCTCTTTCCTCCACCAAAGCAACTACCGTTACAAATTCCTTGTATCTTTCCAGAGATGTACACGCCAACAAACACATACACATATAGGGGCTCCTGGTTGGCTCAGTGGGAAAAGCATATGTCTCTGGATCTCCAGGCTGTGAGTCCCACGTTTGGGGTAGAGATTACTTTAAAAAGCAAAACAAGCACACACATACAATATATAAATAAATAAACAAATAAATAAATAAAAATAGCAGCAAGCTATGCATGCTGCTCTTTACCTTGCTGCCTTTTTTAAATAATAATTTTAAAAGAATGCTTATTTATTTTTGAGAGAGAGAGAGACAGAGCATGAGCGGGAGAGGGGCAGAGAAAGAGGGAGACACAGAATCCGAAGCAAGCTCCAGGCTCCGAGCTGTCAGCACAGAGCCCCACACAGGGCTTGAACCCACGAACCATGAGATCATGACCTGAGCCAAAGTCAGACGCCCAACCGACTAAGTCACCCAGGTACCCCCCAATTTTTTTTAATGTTTATTTTTGAGACAGAGAGACAGAGTGCAAGCGGGGGAGGGGCAGAGAGAGAAGGAGGCACAGAATCCGAAGCAGGCTTCAGGCTCGGAGCTGTCAGCACAGAGCCTGACACGGGGCTCGAACCCACGGCCCATGCAATCATGACCTGAGCCGAAGTCGGACGCTTAACCGACTGAGCCACCCAGACATCCCAGATGCCCTGTACCATATATTTTTTATTTTTTTTAATTTGATTTTATATTTTTTAATTTTTTTAATGTTTATTTATTCTTGAGACAGAGACAGAGTGTGAATGGGGGAGGGGCAGAGAGAGGGAGACACAGAATCTGAAACAGGCTCCAGGCTCTGAGCTGTCAGCACAGAGCCCAATGCGGGGCTCGAACTCATGAACTGTGAGATCATGACCTGAGCTGAAGTCGGACGCTTAACTGACTGAGCCACCCAGGTGCCCCTCATATATTTTTAAAATAAATTCTCTAGAGGTGGACATTTGTCTCTACTGTTTTGTGAGTATAAACAAAGTAGCAAAGCATATCCTTGTACTTTTGTTATTTGCATATGAGCAAATGTATCCACAGGGAAATTTTCTAGAAATGCAACTGCTGGGTCAAAAGGCATGTAATGTACACTTTAAATATTGGTAAGATGTTTCTTTCTTTCTTTCTTTCTTTCTTTCTTTCTTTCTTTCTTTCGCTTGCTTTCCCATTTATTTCTTTTTTTTTTATTTTATTTATTTATTTATTTATTTTTTTAAATTTTTTTTTTCAACGTTTATTTATTTTTGGGACAGAGAGAGACAGAGCATGAACGGGGGAGGGGCAGAGAGAGAGAGAGGGAGACACAGAATCGGAAACAGGCTCCAGGCTCCGAGCCATCAGCCCAGAGCCCGACGCGGGGCTCGAACTCACAGACCGCGAGATCATGACCTGGCTGAAGTCGGACGCTTAACAGACTGCGCCACCCAGGCGCCCCCCATTTATTTCTTAACACAACTGTCTACCTAGCATCAGTTTGTGCATTAGATGGAAAGTTTCCTCACTATGGGCTTTGCTCTTAATTCCTATCACATATCAGAGTGTTTTATCTGATGTATCAAAGGTGCCTGCAGTTCTGAGTACAAGTCCCAAATGTGAATAGTGTATCAAATGTATTTCACAGGAAAGAGAAACTCATGTTTTAGGATATCTGCTAATATCTACATGTACCACTACTGCAACTTCTTGGACTTTCCCCCTGATCGAAGAAAATCACCACCACTTCCTCGATTTCAGAACTTATTTGGTCCCATCCCCTCATTTTACAGATGAGGAAGGGACTTGTCCAAGGTCACAAGGGGTCTATACCTAGGGCTGGTGTCCAGCCTTAATGGAACAAAAGCTATTTCCTTTGCAACATGCTCAAATGGTTTCCAAGGTCTCTATCTTTCTGCTCGCCTGGAAAATTCAGTCTCAGGAATGTCCAACTAATTCCTTTGTGAAGGTGCAATGGCAAATATAACAAAATTGTAAGAAACTATCTCCCTCTGCTGGTAACATTCTACAACTACAAAGCCTTAAAAAAAAAAAAAAAAGCACATCAGCTGCAATGATGAAAAATTAATCAAACCTCAAGAGTGAGACTTTGGTGAGGCCTGATAGACAATCTCATCCTCCTTGCTGTCCCCAAGGCCCAGTCAGGATAATTCACGTAAGAGAACAGTTCACAGAAGAATGTATTCAAAGTAAATATAGCTCCAGGGGTGTCTGCTGGCTCAGTCCATAGAGCATATAACACTAGATCTCCAGGTTGTAGGTTCAAGCCCCACGTTGGGTGGAGAGCTTACTTAAACATAAAAATCTTTAGGCGTGCCTGGGTGACTCTGTTGGTTAAGAATACGACTCTTGATATCGGCCCAGGTCATGATCTTGCAGCCTTGCCCTGAAGCGTGCCTCCCCCCACCCCCCCACCACCTCTCAAAATAAATAAATAAACTTAAAAAAAAATAAAATATTTTTTAAAAAACCCAACAATGTAAACATAACTCCAGAGAGTGAACAAGACAAAATGCTTTTTCTCTGACATTGGTCAGGCTGTTCATAATATTTTATTATATTTTATACATAGAGTTTGAATTGCTAATGGAATATCCAATGTGGAGATGCCAGTAAGAAGCCTAGATTAAGAATTGGTAACACCAGGTCAGGTCAGGGCTGGAAGTCAACTTTGGGAGTCTTTAGCATTCAGTAGGGAGTTTACATCATGAGCATCTATGTAAAAACCATGGACTGAGGACATACCCAGAGATTATCCATAGTTCAGAGACAGGAAGTCATGAAACCAGAATTAGTAAGCATGTCACTTTAACTTCTTAACACTCTTTAACTTCTAAATAAAAACTAGTAACATTTAACACATGATTGCAGTTTATATAATAATTATTAGGAATACAAATTGCAAAAATTCTTGGGGTACCTGGGTGGCTCAGTCGGTTGGGTGTCCAACTCTTGGTTTCAGCTCGGGTCATGATCTTGGTTTCGTGGGTTCGGGGGGGGGGGGGG